GAAATCCATGGGCGACGGTAACCACTCACCATCAGGTGGGCCGTATGCTCGTCTGCTATTAAGGACAATAAAAAAAATTATAAAAACGCTCCGACAGTCGAGACAAACCAGTATTCGTTTTAAATACCGTTTACCTGGAGGACCATTGCAAAAACAATATTATATTAACACGTATGCCCGAAAAACATTACATTTCTGATTAAAAAAAAAAAAAAAAAACATTAACCCATAATTACACAACAAGATATTATTATTATCGTGGGTGTGAAAATCCACTCAATATTCATTCGCTGACCGTGTTGATGTCGTGGAACGAAAACAAAGTCACCGGACCGTCATTATAATTACACCATAAATATAATATGAGCGGGTCAGTATACTTAAAACAAGTTGATGCCGGGCCCCGTACAAACAAAGTATGGAAGCAAAATTTAAGTTAACGAGAACTTTGAACAAACAAACAATGGTCATTAATCATATAAGTGACCAACTGGGCTTTGTACACTTCATTATAATCATATGGGCCTGCTTGAAATTTTATCGAAATTCACTTTGTATATTAGGTGGTGATGTACGATGCTAATTCTTTTTTTTATTGCTTAGATGGGTATACGAGCTCACAGCCTACCTGGTGTTAAGTGGTTACTGGAGACCATAGACATCTAAAACGTAAATGCGCGATCCACCTTGAGATATAAGTTCTAAAATCTCAAGTATAGTAACAACGGCTTCCCCACCCTACAAACCGAAACGCATTACTGATCCACGGCAGAAATAGGCAGGGTGGTGGTACCTACCCGTGCGGACTTACAAGAGGTCCTACCACCAGTAATTACGCAAATTATAATTTTGCGGGTTTGATTTTTATACACGATGTTGTTCCTTCACCGTGGAAGTCAATCGTGAATATTTGTTGAGTACGTATTTCATTAGAAAAATTGGTACCTGCCTGGGACTTGAACACTGGTGCATCGCTCAACACGAATGCACCGGACGTTTTATCCTTTAGGCCACGACGACTATAATTAGACCATAGTTCGATGGATATCAAATCATTGGTGGATAAATTGTAATAGAATAAATTGTGTAATCAAAATAAAAATCATGCTTGGATAANTATTTGTTGAGTACGTATTTCATTAGAAAAATTGGTACCTGCCTGGGACTTGAACACTGGTGCATCGCTCAACACGAATGCACCGGACGTTTTATCCTTTAGGCCACGACGACTATAATTAGACCATAGTTCGATGGATATCAAATCATTGGTGGATAAATTGTAATAGAATAAATTGTGTAATCAAAATAAAAATCATGCTTGGATAAATCAACTAATCATTTTGCTTGGATGGGAGCGAACGATCATCTCAAAGAAAACAAATAAATTATGGACAAATGAATAAATGCTCAATTTCATGGGTTACCTGTTTTTATACAAGATTGATACAAACTACTATCTCGACAATTTTTCTCTGTAGTAAATTTTGATGTTTTGAATCCACTGTTTTCCTTCCAAATGAAGATCCTTTAATGACCTCTACGACCCATAATAAGGGATATTAGCGATTTGAAACTAAAACAAAAAAGGAAAAGATATTTCCAATATAGTTATCGGTTTAAATACAACATTTGTCACTGGAAAGATTATATTCACATACAATTGAGACACCGGCCTCACGTCCCAAGACATCTACCCATGTACTTTTGACTTGAGTAGCTACTGCAGCGATAAATTCTAGCTTTTTAATTTCAAAAGCTATATCAAGTCCGATACAATTTTAAGCTGAAGGAAAAAGTAAACACGGAATGTTATTGCTTGACATCAAAGACGTAATCCTTAATATATATTTATTACAGTCATAGAGAGATACAATCAGTTTTTATCGGCGGAGGTACAAGCTTAATCGTACAATACTTATTTTTATCATCTTATTTCTTTGGTTTCGTCGGGAAACGTCAAATGGAATTGGTTCGATCTCTGTTTCCGTGTAGGCTTCTAATATTGCTGATGCGAGCTATTTTAAGATCAAACTTAAGGCAGGTTGTTGGTATGAAGTTTTTGAAGCAGTCTTGTGTTCTGGGGACGCGAATTTCCGTGTGTTTGTTATTGCTTTCGAGAGATACGGCTCAAGTGACGGTCAACGGTCATTGTCGTGCGTGAAATCCCAGCGACACAGCCAAATAACTGTCTACTGCGTTTTAAATTTCAAACGAACTCGACAAAGAGGTCGACGCGCAACCTAACCCATGCATCGGCTCGCTGAGTTTCTCACCGGATCTTCTCAGCGGGTCACGATTCCGATCCGGTAGTCGATTCATTCGCGAAGAAGCTGCTCTTGAGTTGTTAGGTCTCCTTCAGAGGCGCTCGGGCAGCTGTTAGCAAATCCCACCCCTTCTGGCTAAGCCTTTGCTCGTCCACCTGTCCTGGTGAAACTGGAAAGACCTCCGGGCCACCAGTAATCCTTCAATAATAAAAAAGTAGTTTACAATGTTTTTACATATTAAATACTGATATAGTTTAACTTAACAATGAAATAATTAATACAGCTCCTCATATACAGAACATCAATTTTAGATCATGCCTAAAAAACTTGAAAACGTAATGGTAAATTCAACAGAATAACGTTAATGTAACTTATACTAGCCTCATATAAAACAAGTTAAATGACAAACCGATATTCAATTTCATCCTGAAGCTCACGAAGGCGGAACAAACAATTGATTATTTTTGTTCAATCATACGCGTACTTAAAGAATTTCTCATAAAACTGATCAAATGATTATCCAATTTATTTCAATAAAATATTTACTTTTTTTCTCATTAAAACTATCGCTCCACGAACGGAGAAAATTTATTAAATTGGAGAATCGCACCGCAGTCATATCAACATATTCGGCTGAATTGATTTAACTTGTCAATCGTTTGAATAGTTGGGAATTGGATGATACTACTCGCATTGTGCTGTCGATGGACTAGTTATAAAAATAATATTATGAAACCAGGTGAACCATGCCCTGTGTGTTCATCAAATACAATACTGAATTTCCAAGGGACTAATTAGTTCGACTACGTCATAGAATTGAAAATAATGATCTTTTTATCCATTATAAAGAATAATGTAGATTTTTTATTTGTTTTTTATTGCTAAGATGGGTGGACGAGCTCACACCTGGTGTTAAGTGGTAACTGGAGCTTATAGATATCTACGACGTAAATGCGCCACCCACCTTGAGATATAAGTTCTAAGATCTCAGTACAGTTACAACAGCTGCCCTACCCTTCAAACCGAAACGCATTACTGCTTCACGGCAGAAATAGGCAGGGCTTCCAACGTATTCTCACGTACTTCGCTCACATCGCTCGTAGAGACCCCGATAACTTAGAGAAGCTGATGGTAGTTGGTCAGGTTGACGAGAGAAGACCACGCGGACGCTCACTTACCCCTGGTCTGCTCTAATAAAGACGCTCACTGGCCTGCTCTAATAAAGACGCTCACTGGCCTGCCAATCGCTAAGGCTATAAAGACCGCCGAAGACAGGATGAGGTAGGGAAGTATGGTGCATCGAGTGGTTAGCATTTCAAACTAGACACAGCCTTCGGCAATGAAGAGACTTACTTATAACAAGACTAGCTTTTGCCTGCGACTTCGTCCGCGTGGAATAGTTCAAAATAATGCTTTATTTTAAAACAAATTTGGTTAGCATAAAAAACGTTATAGTGAGCTAACCTTAACATATAGACATATGCTGTCGCGGACTTTTTTTATAGCTTTTAAAGGGGAACAATTCTGTCGTAAATTATTTTAGCGAAACTTTAACTTAACGTTTCTGCAGCGCACGCAGCGGAAGCTCTCAAAAAGGAATAAGACCCGATTTTGAAACATTATTTATTGGTGCTCCGCTTGTATTAGTCTTAGCGTGATGTTATACAACTTATAGCCTTCCTCAATAAATGGGCTATCTAACACTGAAAGAATTTTTCAAATCTGACCAGTAGTTCCTGAGATTAGCGCGTTCAAACAAACAAACTCTTCAGCTTTATAACATTATCTATATATTAATACGTGAAGCAAAAGCTTTGTACCCTCTTTTTTTACGAAAATTGCGCGGACGGAGGAGTATGAAATTTCCCACACATACAGAGAATATAGAGAAGCAGTGCAAAATGCTAATATTTTTTAAAATAATGCTTAAAAAATAAATTAAATCAATAAAGAAAACATTACACACACTACCATGTATTTGACACACACACGCTTTTAAAGTGCTATTTGTTTATTGTCAAACTTTTCTTATTGCATAAAGTCTATGGTCAAATTGAGAATAGATTAAATATTGTTTGTCTTATTTGTCTAAAGTGTAGTCTTGGCGGAATCTGTGATTATAGAAGTATAATAAACAGTCTTTGACAATTGAACCATAATAATGTTCAAACTTATAATTTCAATTAATTATAGTCGAATTTCGACTACTGCGGGACCACTAGTAAGTTTTTTTATTATTTTTTTATTGCTTAGATGTGTGAACGAGCTCACAGCCCACCTGGTGTTAAGTGGTTACTGGAGCCCATAGACATCTACAACGTAAATGCGCCACACACCTTGAGATATAGTTCTAAGGTCTCAGTATAGTCACAATGGCTGCCCCATCCTTCAAACCGAAACGCATTACTGCTTCACGGCAGAAATAGGCGGGGCGGTGGTACCTATCCGTGCGGACTCACAAGAGATCCTACCACCAGTAATTACGCAAACTATAATTTTGCGGGTTTGATTTTTATTGCACGATGTTATTCCTTCACCGTGGAAGTCAATCGTGAACATTTGTTGAGTACGTATTTCATAAGAAAAAATTGGTACCCGCCAGCGAGATTCGAACACCGGTACATCGCTCGATACGAATGCACCGGACGTCTTATCCTTTAGGCCACGACGACTTCAATATAGTATAGATACTTCATTTTAAATGTTTAACTAAATATTACGTCTCCCTTGTTCTAGACTAAACTACGCGTTAGCTGGACTGCGGCCGTGGTGGTGGCACGCTTGCAATGTGGCTTTACACGCGGCGTGCTGCGCGCTGGTGGCCCGCGCGTGCGTCACCATAGCTCGCTTGCAACGTCCCTTTGCCGCGCTCGCCGCCCTGCTATTTGCCGTTCATCCTATTCATACCGAGGCGGTAAGAAGATTATTGTTTTTAAATACTTACATTAAATACTTTTGGAACGAAGTTCCTTATGGGACGATTCGGAGGGGTACCCTAACCGGGAAAAAACGTCCGTAACGTAAGATTTTGTAATGCACACAGTGTACGACTTAACTTTGTAATAACGTACAAAAAATAACATATTTTTTACTGGTGGTAGGAGGTCTTGTTAGTCCGCACGGGTAGGTACCACCATCCTGCCTATTTCTACCGTGGAGCAGTAATGTGTTTCGGTTTGAAGGGCGGGGCAGCCGTTGTACTGTTAAAAGTGAGATCTTACAGCTCATTTCTCAAGGTGGGTGGCGGCATTTACGTTGTAGATGTCTATGAGCTCCGGTAACAACTTAACATCAGGTGGGCCGTGAGCTTGTCCAACCATCTAAGCAATAAAAAATAAAAAATAAAACAAAGAACTCATCGAAGGGCGGTATTTGGTTTTTTCCGTTTCGCTTAATACGCGATGTTTGTCCTTGTAAGTAATAATTGGTATTAGTATCCGTTTTAATTGGTATTAGTATCCACAGTTCGATGTTTTTAATTGAATTCCAATTAAGTTTACCCCAATCAGATATGAAGAAGTTTTTTGTTATGATATATTTCCCAATTTTTATTTTTTATTTTTTTTATTGCTTAGATGGGTGGACGAGCTCACAGCCCACCTGGTGTTAAGTGGTTACTGGAGCCCATAGACATCTACAACGTAAATGCGCCACCCACCTTGAGATATAAGTTCTAAGATCTCAGTATACTTATAGTTACAACGGCTACCCCACCCTTCAAACCGAAACGCATTACTGCTTCACGGCAGACATAGGCGGGGTGGTGGTACCTACCCGTGCGGACTCACAAGAGGTCCTACCACCAGTGATAAATTTTAACTTATAAATGGCTCTCCTGTACATTTGCAAAATTGTCGCTTCAACCAAACACCCTTCGATATGCTTTTACTTCTTGCTTCATGTGTTGTGTTCTTTAGTGCTGAAGATCGTGACCTTTACGGAGCATTTTTATTCAGATTATGTTCCTTCATTCTTCCTTGTCCTCCACGCAGAGGATAGCTCCATTTATGCTGAAGTCCAATGCCGCCTTAATCTGATCGGACAAATGCAGGAGATTACGCCCCATTGATCTCTTTCCTTCCACTTTTCCGATTATGGGTAGCTTTTCGAGATTTTCACCCTTCTTCCTCGCAAAGAAGAACTATAATCATACTAATTCAATAAAAACTGTAAATAAGCTAAGTACACAATTCCACGTTAACATTTAATAGTAATTACGCTGTAAATTTTGTATTGCGGCCATTAACCGTATTTGAAATTGTAAATTACCGTTTTTACAGCCCCTTATTTATTTACAATTGGTCGGTAGCGCTATATAAAAGTGTCTATAACGATTTGAGCACGATCTGTCGCTGTGCCGGTAGCCTTTGACATAAAATGTATCTCTTCATAGGATTGATGGACTGTATGTTCCACGGGGAGTGCTCTGAGGAATTGTTTGAGATGATACCATCATCTCGTTTTTACCGTCGCACCGCCCGTCACCGGGGTAGAGTTCATCTATACTACCTGGAGCCACTGCGTTCATCCACAGTGCGTTTCCAGAGATCTTTTTTGCCACGTACCATACGGTTTTGGAATGAGCTCTCTCTCCTCCACGGTGTTTCCCGAGTGCTATGGCATATCCTTCTTCAAACGAGGCTTGTGGAGAGTACTTAACGGTAGGCAGCGGCTTGGGTCTGCCATTGCTGAAGTCCATGGGTGATGGTAACCACTCACCATCAGGTGGGCCGTACACTCGTCTGCCGACAAAGGTAATAAAAAAAATGATGATGTGACAGTGAGGTTTGATTCTCGATCGAAATAGTAATGATAGAACTTAGGTATACAGAATCTGGGTACATTTTGTCGAATATGGAAAGTTAAGAAAACCTTGCTTAGTTTTTACTGCCAACTTCGACAGGCAAAATCTTATAATTCGCTTGGTGATAAAACGTGTGATAGTAACTCACTCCACTGATGTAGTGGCTGTCGTATTCTTCAAAGGCATCCAAGATAGGAGGACCGCATTCTGTGGAAGGCATTGGGGAAGGCCTATGTCCAGCAGTGGACACATAAAGGCTAATGATGATGATGATAATGATCCAAGATACGTGGTATCATCCATTACAAGTTCACAGAAGGTCATTCGATCAGACATCAAGTAAATATCAAGACATGAAAGTATACGAAGAATTTTCACAGATGATTGTTTGGATGGATGTTGGTATGCTATGGATGGGATATTAACCAGAATACTTTAGGATTAAGTTCAACATTTCAAAAGCCGTTTGTTGATATTTCCTTGTCTTTCACAGGTAGCGGGAGTTGTGGGCAGAGCTGACGTATTGGCTTGTATATTTTTTTTGTCTTCACTACTTGTTTATCACAGGTAATATATTATACATATACGCTTCACTAGGCATTTAAAATTAACATTATTATTTATTCTCATTATTATAAGGGAGTTCAACACTCATATAAATATTAAGCCTATGCATTAGTTAGATGCATTTTCTTCATGGATACCAAGTTTCAAGTCAATCGGATGCATGGTTCAGTAGTTATAACGGAAAAACCGTAAAAACCACTGTAGATTTATATATTAGTATAGATTACTGTCATTCGAGTCGTAGTATCATTGGGAAATTACTTAATACCAGATAGCCTTACCCAGCTCATTTAATTAAAAAAAAGTCCATTGTAAAAACGTAATAAGATTTCAGTACCCAAATCCTATTGAAATTCTCCTTTGTATTTTTTTCTTTGAACAAGGCATTTGTTTAATCCGCTGAATAGTCTACAATGGAATGTATTCAAATATGTACATAGTGAAATAAAGACAAAAGAATACCAGTATAGTTTGCATAATACATTTTATCCAATAGTTATGCCTTTTATTTAACGCTGGGGAATCGGTTTACGTACCTGGTTGAAGGTGGGTAACAGACCGGGCTATGTCGAACTCTGAAGCCTCCACAGAAGAAGAGGAAGAGCAGTGGAAGACCAAGGTCCTCTCCTACAATTCCTCCTAGGAGACTACGCCTAGAGTAAAGCCCGTGAAGCCATTACCCCACAGAACCGACTACCAACTTAATCCCATCGATCCAAAACTATGCCTGTTATTTGTTTATTTATTTGATTGTAATAGCAAATGGTTAGGATAGTGAAGTGAGTTTGGGTGAATCTAGAAGTGTGAAAACGTTTGCTTGTACGACAAAATGGTGGTGATGCCGTTTATTTTCGGTTTCTATCGTTAAAATAATAATTAATGCGCAGATTATTGATGAAATCACAAATTCAAACTACAAAAAACGATGCCAAAATCATCTTAGGTGTTTTTTTTGTAATTCTCCAAAAAACAAATACATAGACAGACTAATAATCGTGATTCGAAATCGATGTAACCTACATACCTTAAAATCGCAATTTTTTTTTAATGCAAACATGTTTCTATTTATTTTAAAATAATGTACACGAATATTTTGTTTCGTTGTGTATTCGACTTGTTCATAACTGATATATGTATATTTTCTTGCAAATAAATGAGTCTTAGTAAGAAACATAATATTATGAAGAAAAACAGTTTCTAATTTTAGAGTTTCTAGATTAGTTAATATTATATTTATAGATTATAGGATAGCTATTTCCAATAGTTATTACCGCACCTTTTTATATTATGCTAAAATCTGGCAAGACTGAAGCTAATATAATATTATGTTGGTTCAGACTTCTATATTATTATATCAAGTCATTACGCAGAAAACGTATTGCTACATTAGATATAAATTTCTAACTAATACCATTCTGTTCACAGACCGGCAAACAACAAGAAGTATGTATGGCTGAGCGTGGTACTTGGAGCATTGAGTATGCTTGCCAAAGAAACAGGAGTCACGGTTCTAATGTTGAATCTTATTTATGACTTTTATAGATGTTGGCCACTTGTCAAAAGGTATTTATAAATAATAATAAAAATAAATAATAACAACTGGGAACAAATCACGTACAGCCGGTCGGATTTCTAGCTCTATCTATTCTATATACATAAAAATGAATTGCTGTTCGTTAGTCTCCCTAAAACTCGAGAACGGCTGGACCGATTTGGCTAATTTTTGGTCTTGAATTATTTGTGGAAGTCCAGAGAAGGTTTAAAAGGTAGATAAATATGAAAATGCTCGGAATTAAATAAAAATAACATTTTTGTTTTTCCTCTGATATGTCCCCCGTCGGACGGATTCCTTTTGTTTGTTTTAAGTTTATTTTATACAAAAGTTTAGATCTTTTATTTATCGATTGAGGCACTACAAAGTCTGCTGGGTTAGCTAGTTACTAATAAATTAAATTACTAGTCAGCTATGATTAACCTCTTTGTATTTACTTTTAACAACATACTATGGATATTAATAAGCCATAGTAAATGCAACGAAATCAGGATTAAGATAACTTCAATACGTCCCGTTCTTCAAACAGTTCTACGGTTCTACCGGAAGTGATCGCTTTTAGCGATAAGACCGCCTATTGTACAAACGTATCTGCTTGTTGACTGTTTTTTGATGTTAATTGTGTTTTGGTGTGCAATAAAGTATGTTCTCTCTCTCTCTCTCTTTCTCTCTCCTCTCTCTCTCTCTCTCTCTCTCTCTCTCTGTACCGATCTATGCAAATTGACGAAGCTTTATGGCAACTTGATTTAACTGATTCGGGAGTGCAGTTAGCGCCTCTGACTGTTGCGCTTGGGGTCGTGGTTTCGATTCCCAAATCGGGCTAACATTCGTATGATGAACAGGTTTGCTTGCCCCTTGTCTGGGTGTTTATTATCTATACATTATATATGTAAATATAATATTTAAACGTATATAAGTATGTTTGTCTCTGGTACCTATAATACAGGGAATCCTAATGAGGTGGATGACTATGCATGATTTGTTCCCAGTTTTTTATTGCATTTACCTATCTTTAGGAAGTATGAATGTGTCTGAAAAATAATACATGTGCTTGCATTTACTGACGGTAAAATTGGATATTAAATTTTGAGAGTTAGGCTTAGTATACAGCTACACTGGGGGTTGTGAAGTTACTAGGTTGAGGTTATGTTATGGAGCTTTTGCCACAAAAATGTGGTAATTGGTCAAAAATCTCAATCTAAACTTCAAAATCAAAAAGTTTTTGATTCAACGATGATGCCTTCACGGGTCTTTTCAAATAGGCATGGTTGGCTCACGATTTAAGAAGCAGTTTTACTACTGGGTCGAGTCAGTTTAAAAGTGTAGGACTCTTTAAGCTCACAAAAGAATTATGATAATTTTATTATTGCAGTTTGTAAATTTAATGAAATGTTTTTTAATCACTCAGAGAAGATCTAGTCTTAAGTCGTAGTTAAGAACATATCTTATATTGCAGACTAGTTAAACAAAGACCCTTGTTGTCGATCAAAACACAAACATATGAAAATCAAACAAAAAAGGGCTGCCTAAATTACAACAGAAGCATTAAATTTAATTTTACTTTTGTTGTGATTTCTTTAAGATGTTCTCCTGGTTTTAATGTCANTTAATCACTCAGAGAAGATCTAGTCTTAAGTCGTAGTTAAGAACATATCTTATATTGCAGACTAGTTAAACAAAGACCCTTGTTGTCGATCAAAACACAAACATATGAAAATCAAACAAAAAAGGGCTGCCTAAATTACAACAGAAGCATTAAATTTAATTTTACTTTTGTTGTGATTTCTTTAAGATGTTCTCCTGGTTTTAATGTCACACTATCATAATAATATGGTCTATTAGATTTTGAATGACCATCGATCACATGGACATCGATAATGGTAGGAACATAATTAAGTTATTGTTTTAAAAAAACCAAGTGGGAGCTAACTGTCGTTGGTTCGTTGCGCAAAAAGATCTCTTGATATGTATTATTTCATAGATTATTATTGTTGTTGTTGTTGTAAAAAAGCTTTGATAGTACCTAATAATAAAACTGCGATATTAAAATCACATTATCTTTTACAATTTCCCTCATAGAAAAACGGTAATGGAACGATCTTCCACTGAGCGAATCTAATTGCTCGGCAAACCAACGACCCGAATGATTTCAGAACTTGTATTTATATGTAAGGCTGAGAATGTTGTTAGTGCGATTCAGTTGCTATGATTGTTTCTTTATTTTTATTGCTAAGATGAATGGACGATCTCACAGTCCATCTTGTATTGGGTGGTCACTGGAGCCCATAGACATCAACCACGTTAAAACCGCCGCCCATCTTGAGACATGAGTTCATAGTCTCATTTTTACAGGACAACGGCTGCCCTACCCTACACTCGGGTTGAAGGGTGGGGCATCGCATTACTACTTCACGGCAGAGATAGGCAGGACGGTGGTACCTACCCGTGCGGACTTACAAGATGCCATACCGCCAGTTATTATGCATATTATAATTTTTATGGCATTGATTTTTATTACACGATGTTATTCCTTCATTGTGGAAGTAATTCGTGGATTTTTATTCAGGACGTATTTCATTAGTAAAATTGGTGCCTGTCTGCGGGATTCGAATACCGGTACAGTGGTATCGCTCGGTATGAATGCACCGTCTTATCCTTTAGGCCATTCTGACATCTTCTTGTCCTCATACCACATTTTGGGGTCGGCGCAGCGTGTCTTCTTTTCATGCTGTATAGGGATTCAGCATGAGTTTTAGGGCCGGTCGCCCGTTTGACGGCTACCCTCCTTGGGTGATATCTCCAATAGTACCTATATCCATTGGAACTTGCCATAAGGATAGACTCTTCAGTTTCTTAGTTTGTGTGTGTTTCTTTTACTTTATCCGGTTTTGGTTTTATGTTTCTCTTTTTGTCATTCATCATCATCTCAACCTGTCTACCTGCCTCTCCAACTGATCTCCAGTGTGGCCGGTCCGTTGTTATCTTAATCCTACGTCACCCAGCGATTTTAACCAGGTCGTCGGTCCATCTGGTAGGTGGCCGTCCGACACTACGTTTGCCAGTATGTGGTCTCCACTCGAGTATCTTTCTGCCCCATTGGCCGTCCAATCTTGGCGCTAAGTGACCTGCCCACTGCCACTTCAGCATGCTAATCCTACGGGCTATGTCAGCAACTTTGGTTCTTCTACGGATCTCCTCATTTCTGATTCGATCTCGTAGAGAAATACCAAGCATAGCCCTCTCCATAGCTCGCTGCGTGACACTAAGCTTTCTAAAAAAATCCCTTGTGAAGAACCACGTCTCGGAACCGTAAGTCATCACTGGTAACACACTGGCTGTAAACATTTATCTTAAGGCGTTGAGGGATTTTGGACGAGAATCATTATAATATCATTGTAAATGCTTACACTAAACTCTAGGTTAAGTGGAAAAAACTTTTTCCTTTATTGTATTTTAATATTCTGTTATGATAGCTTTTTCGAATCTGAAGTCATTTTCCGCTTCCTTCGCCGCGCACCTGACCCGGACAGTGAAAAGGTTAACCACATCGTCAAACGTAATATAAATATTTTTAGCAGCGACCTTAAATGCGGCTTAACTTTAATGGAATTACAAAGGTCGTTGATTTTACACAACTCGTGAAAGGTGAACCGTGTCATTTGATCATATGGATTATCTTGATAGAAGGTTTTGGTGAATTGACAATTATTGTTTAATTAAACATCGAGTACTTGCTGTCACAATCAAAGAAATTGGTTTTTATTCGGCATATTTATACAAGTTCTCTTTAAAATTACTGGCACCTTATCTTTGATGCGTTTAATAAAAATAATTTTAGCTGGTCCAATTTGTTAGATAACGTAGGGAAAGTTTAGACAATTTTAAATGCTTTCAACAGTATCATGGACCAGCTGGTTTTAAGTGATTGCTGAAATATCTCTTTTCTTCTACATCGTTCCCTCACTACTGAGGATCGCGACCACATGCGACTTGGCATGGATGGTATGGACCGCACGGTACAAGCTACCACCAACCGGTTTCTTAACCAGATGTGATCATCTGGCTGGTTTTCTGCCTACAGCGCACTTGCCTTCTATGCGATACAAAGCGCTTATTTATTATGAGCTTCTGTAATGTTCATATCTGGGAGACCATATTACGATATCGGAAAAGCTCATATTACGGTCTTGGCAGATGGCAGAGAGCCTTTTTTGGATGTTTAGCTCTATTAAAATGGACCCGTTAGTTCTTATGGCAGTCCATGGTATTCGGAGTATCCTCCGTCACACCCACATTTCAAAGACATCAATCTTTTTGCCATCGCCGCTTTCCATGCACCATGTCTCCGCTCCGTAGCGAAATATGGAAAATTCCAGTGCCCACACCAAGCGCACTTTGGTTTTAAAGCGAATGCTACAGTTTTTCTAGATCTTCTCGAGGTTGACCATCGCACTTTACGAGCACATACGGCCTGTGACCCATCCATACACAGTCCCATTCAATAATATTTATAACCTTGCTCGATAGCAGTCAATAATATTAAAACTATTAGAATAGATAATAGCGTTCTACAGAATCGCGATTGTGAAATTTGATCTTATAATCGAAGCTTTCACTAGCAGGTATTCCCATAGATGTCTGGGGCACGAAAAGTCTTCAATATTTCATTTCTCAACGCGTCTAGCGAGAAACTAGAGTCTGGAATGTTTTAAATCGAATATCGATTTTTTTTAAAGCAGCTTGCTCGTACCTGAACTATGTCTATGTTGTGCCTTAAAAAAAGTGTTTTGGCTTGAAATGTTGGTTTGGCGTTATCTTAATCCAATCCTACTTATTGATCGAGATGTCTATTTTACTAATGTATTCACATTTCATGCCTTCAGTAAACGCCTAATATCAGGTAGATTTATCGAGATTTCGGTAGGCAGCGGCTTGGCTCTGCCCCTGGCATTGCTGAAGTCCATGGGCGACGGTAACCACTCATCATCAGGTGGGCCGTATGCTCGTCTGCCTATATAGGCAATAAAAAATAAAAAATAAAGATAGTGGGCTAATCTGCTGATAATAGCATTTTTAAATGATCGAAAACAATCTGATACCTGTAGAATAAAGAAAGATATATTTAAAAGTTTAATCCCATTGACCTTAGAAGTGTAAAAATGTACATTTATTTGACGAGCAAACGCTATTCAGCTTATGTCTAGAACGTGCTCGAATGACTAAGTTTACAATCATGGGTATTATAAAACTTAAGGGCCGTCTGTGTTACTTTAATCTTATTTGAAAATAAATACAAAGACTGTGGAGTCGATATTCATAGTAAATTTTATTCAGTAAGAGCGACTAAATATTTAGTAGAAGTGGCCTATTACTGAACTATTACTTAAAATTTGCCTTTCGTTGTCTGTTTTTTATTCATAAGATGCTTAATGTTTTTATTGCTGATGATATCCATTTATGTTGACTAGAGGTCCCGCAGTAGTCGAAATTCGACTATAATTAATTGAATGATTGTATTTTATACTTCTATAATCACAAATTTCTCCAAGGCTACACTATAAAAAATATTAACAAAGACAAACAATATTTAATCTATTCTCAATTTGACAACAGACGTCAAGAACAAAAGTTTGACAATAATAAATAAATAATTAGTATGCATGCGTGTGTGCGTCATATACGGTATGTAGTGTGTGTAATGTTTTCTTTATTGATTGAATGTATCTTTTATGCATTATTTAAAAAAAATATTAGCATTGTGCACTTCTTCTCTATATTCTCTATAAGTGTGGAAAATTTCATACTCCTCCGTCCGCGCAATTTTTGTAAAAAGGGATACAAAGTTTTTCCTTCACGTATTAATATGTGTGATAAGCAAAGCAAATTGTTAAGCAAAGCCCAAGATGAGGAGTTCATAGTTAATTTCAGGGTTTGATAATATGGTGGAAAAAAAGCGCATAAAAACTACATGGGCTATGAGCTTCTGTGCGTTATTATAATTTAAACTACTTTCTTCATTATTTAAGTTTAATATTTTCTGTCCTTTCGAACACTCCACAGTTTTCCTAGTTCCGATCGCCTAAGGTGGTGTTCTCTTCGAATTAAAAATAATGCGCGGACTGATAATGTGTAAAATATTTAATAGCTTTTACGTGTCTTGGCTTAAACCCCTTAACAAGTTTTATTAGTTTGTGGTGGGAAAAATATAAGAAAATTCTTCTTTTCAGTCGTGTCACTCTTGACAGAGTGGTCGTGATCGTCATGTAGTGTTGGAAGGGGCAGACTTCATGCGTCTCACGATGTCGCGCCATCTCTCTAAGAAAATATTGTTGTAATAAAAATCAAACCCGCAAAATTATAATTTGCGTAATTACTGGTGGTAGGACGTCTTGTGAGTCCACACGGGTAGCCACACTGCCTATTTCTGCCGTAAAGCAGGAATGCGTTTCGGTTTGAAGGGTGGGGAACCGTTGTAACTATACTGAGACTTTAAAACTTGTATCTTAAGGTGGGTGGCGGCATTTACGTTGCAGATGTCTATGGGCGCCGGTAACCACTTAGCACCAGGTGGGCCGTGAGCTCGTTCACCCATATAAACGATAAAAAAATCTATTTCATAAGAAAATAATGTTAATAATCCTGAATTTTTAAATGGAAGTCAGTTCAATTTTATAGAAATAAAAATTCCACTGTACTCTATACGTGTAGATTATTATGTCTTCCACATGAGAACCTGATTATTTTGTTTCGATAAGTGATTTCGCTGCTCTAAGCATGCATTATACATTTCGTTTATTTTTCAGGTCGATTTGCTCAATGAAATTCGAAAAGAAATGCACGGGTCTTTCAGTGCGGACCATTAAAGTTGTGGTGTCTTTGGCACTATTAGTGTGCTTCAGACTGGCACTATTGCAGGGGACGTGGCCAAGTTTTTCTCCTCAAGACAATCCAGCTGCTTTTCATCCCAGTTTCTTCGTCCGGTATGTTATCATGATGAAATTTCAGCGGAAAAACCCTATTTACCCTACCCTACCCTACCCTTATTTACCCTAAGTTTATTTACTCTAAGAGAGTATTGAGCATTTGAAGTTAATTGATATTTCCTTACAGCTGACACGTTTTCGGTAAAAACAAATTTTTTACAGATTAATGACTTTTTGCTATCTGGCCGCCTTCAACTGGTGGCTGCTTCTTTGTCCGTGGACCTTGAGTCACGACTGGCAAATGGGTTCGGTTCCCCTCATCACCAGCGGATGGGATCCGAGGAACTTACTCACATGCGCCGCCTTTGGTGCTCTACTGCTTCTCTGCTACAGGTTTATTGCCGATTTGGAGGTAAGGAGTGCCAAGTGTTCTTCATTATATATTTTTATGTTGCCTAAATTTACTTTCAGATCAAATATCGTTTTAATTTTCTATTTCCATATCATGTTGTATGTTAGAATTTTTCTGGAACGAAGTTCCTTATGGGACGATGCGGAGGGGTACCCTGACCGGGAAAAAACGTCCGTAACGTAAGATTTTTATTAGTAATGCACACAGTGTACGAGTTAACTTTGTAATAACGTACAAAAAGTAACATATTTTTTTCATTCATTGACCACGATCTCAGAGCGATCGTTTGCGCAATACACTAACTCTTATGCAAACAACCGTGAATGAAGTGAACCACAATAAGTTCGCACCTTACCGAATGACCGTGGGTTGTTTTATTATCTTTATACCTCAAATAGAACTTAAAATTAATATTTTCTATAATAAGGAACTTCGTTCCTATCCGGTGTCCCACGACACCACACATCTGTTTTATTTATTTATTTATTATACTATTTCTATAAATAGCATTTGAGTTTGGTCAACAAATTGAAACCCAACAAAATACCGAACATCGGCTTAAGCTATAAGCTTAGCATTACTGGGAAGTGCATCCATGAATGTGCTGACGTCATTATTTTCTTGTACCAGGTTCAAAGACACACTCCTGCAGTAGTAGGGATGCTGCTACTAGTGATACCTTTCGTGCCTGCCAGTAACCTGCTGGTGACCGTCGGCTTTGTGATCGCTGAGCGAGTTCTTTACATACCCAGGTATGTAGTGTTATTATTCTTCACCATTACATGTGCCAATGTCCATAAGTCATTTTACTGCTTAATTTTCATTTTCGTGGCTGTGAAAATTACTTACAAACCTAATGTCTCAGATTTATCATGGGCTTATTGTCTCAGGTAGCCAATTAACATCAGCTAGGCCATGATGACATAAACGTCGAGTGCATTAAAAATCAACATTTTGTTTGTGACAGTGTGGGTAGCGTGATCATCACGGCGTATGGAGTTCAACTGATTTGGTACTCCAAGCCTGGTACTAAAGCGGTCCTGGTCATCGGCCTCGCTGTGTTAGCGGCCAGCGGAGTAGCTAGAACTTATAGAAGAAACGCTGACTGGCGGGACAGAGCCACGTTGTTGAGGTATTAAATCGATTAGACATTGAACTGTAATAACGGACGAATATTAGAAATTTGTGTGGTAGTTTCAAATAGCCTATTGTGGTATATTTCTGCTTTTGATCTTACATCATGTGTAATGTTGTAAGATCCAAACACCACCAACAGTGTTCCGGCTTTCAACCTTTTACTTTATATTTTAATTGTTCTGTCGCAAATCTGGCCATATTAGCCAAATTATAGTTTGCGTAATTACTGGTGGTAGGACCTCTTGTGAGTCCGCCCGGATTTACTTTGTGTACTTGTAGAGTTACTTTTCTAATATTTTTTTTATTACTTAGATGATTGGACGAGCTCACAGTCCACCTGGTGTTAAGTGGTTAATGGAGCCTATATACATTTACAACGTAAATGCGCCACCCACCTTGAGATATAAGTCCTAAGATCTCAGTATAATTACAACGGCTGCCCTTTCAAGCCGAAATGCATTACTGCTTCACTGCAGAAAGAGGCGGGGTGGTGGTACCTACCTGTGCGGACTCAAAAGAGGTCATACCACCAGTAATTACGCAAATTATAATTTTTCGGGTTTGATTTTTATTACACGATGTTATTCCTTCACCGTGTAAGTCGATCGTGAACATTTGTTAAGTTCATATTTCATTACCTCAATTGGTACCTGCCTGCGGAATTCGAACCCTGTTGCATCGCTAAATATGAATGCACCGGACGTCTTATCCTTTAGGCCACGACGGCTTCATTCAATTCATTCTAATGTTTATGAAAGTCTTAAGTAAGTTACATTATGAGTGATCATCCAATTATATGTCTAGTCTGTGTCGATCTTAACTTAAAAAGCCTTCTCAGACGCAGAATACACCTGTAGAATAACAACAAATCAAACATCATTCTGAACAGTTACTTAACGGCACGTATACGTTTTACGGTCGCCATTTTCGAACGTAAATTACGTTCTAAATGTGTTTTGTTTGCTCCAGAACGGATTTAGTGACTTTACCGCAGAACGCCAAACTGCACTACAACTTGGGAAACTTCCTTAGGGAGTCTGAGCAGCAAGAAAGCGCCATCAAGCATTACAAAGAAGCTTTGAGGTAACAAATGTATTTACTTCGACGCGTGTATCAAAGCGTGGCTGCCGTGAACTAAGTTGTTGTGATTTATTTTATTTTATAGTGATGTTTAGGTGTTTTTTTTTTTTATTATTATTTTTATTGATTAGATGGATGGACGAGATCACAGCCCACCTGGTGTTAAGTGGTTACTGGAGCCCATAGACATCCACAACGTAAATGCGCCACCCACCTTGAGATATAAGTTCTAAGATCTCGAGTATAATTACAACGGCTGCCCCACCCTTCAAACCGAAACGCATTACTGCTTCACGGAAGATATAGGCAGAGTGGTGGTACCCACCCGCGCGGACTCACAAGAGGTCCTACCACCAGTATTATTTATTTATTACACTTCATGTAAAATTTACATTGGCGGACTTAATGCCTAAGGCATTCTCTACCAGTCACCAGTATTATGTAGCTCTGAAGAAATGCAGTATCTAGTAACAGTTTTTGGGAACAACCACAGTTGAGCGATGAATAATTTTCAATAATTCACTATTGAATTTCCAATAAAAATAAACAAATCCAACTTCGAAATTACATTTTCAATATAAATCGAAAATGTTCGCTCAAATTATAATATGCATTGAAGATAATGTTGACTCAAAGCTTAATATTGATAGTAACGTAATTAAAAGCTGTAAGCTCGTCAAAAGCTTCTGTTATACGTGATACACTTGTTACGCCGAAAATCACTTTGATATTATTTTCTGATAATTTATTAAAGATTTTAGATGTTATCTGTGAGATCGATACTTTGAAATTTGCTTTGATACAATATTAGATATCAACTATAAGTCTGGTTACTGGTATACTATGGATAAGTGGTTAATGAAGCCTCAAGATACCACAAGGCTGCTGTCCATGAGGTCTACACTTGTGGTATCCGTTGTATTGTAGAACTCTGCCCTTCCTATTGCTGATCGAAGTACCCTTCAGATTTGATAAAATGAAAACATCTTTAGCACCGTTGTGATTTGGAACTTGATGAAAAGTCACGCTAAAAGAGATAAATATATGCATCTGTAGGATTTAACCTGCGAAAGAATGAGACAGAATTTTTTTAAAAGTTTTACTTCTATCACTTTTCTATGATCTATCATGTTTTTATTTTAATTAAACAAAACCGTGTCTGATTTCCGTTTTTCTTTACATTTCCACTTGGGTAAAATTTACCATTTACCATTTGTATTTACGATCCAGGAAAAAAATCAATGAACGCTAAACTATTGCTTAATTTAGTTAAAATTAATTTAAATTTAAGTATATCGATTTGTATAATGAAATGAATTAGGATTAGATAGTTAATAAAAAATTAGTAATTCTATCAAAATCGCATTCACATAGGTTGTGGCCGACATACGCAAGCGCCCACAATAACATAGGAACCTTGGTCTCCGGGTTGGAGAATGCAGAACAGCATTTCCTGCAAGCCATCAAGTTTAACAAGTACCATGTCAACGCGCACTACAACCTCGGGAAACTTTACAAGTAATTGATTATATGGACTTCCTTTAAATACATATTTTTCAGGCGGAAAAGAAAGAGAAAAAAAGAGAAGGAAGAAATTCCAGTTTGGAAATTCGGCACAAACTACTGTTTTCTGTTATTTGTCAGGCAATTGTGCATAATGTGAAGAATGCTCATGATTTTTCCATATGTACACTTAGTATATTAGATGCTAAATAAGTACCAGGGCTCATAGACACTAAGCACCGCATTTCTATACAATAGTCGCTATACTCTTCACACTGGAAGGCATATTTGCTATTCAGTAGAAAATGGCAAAATGGTAGTAACCACCAATTTGGACCAGTACCAGTTTGCGGTAGGCAGCGGCTTGGCCTTGCCCCTGGCATTGCTGAAGTCCATGGGCGACGGTAACCACTCACCATCAGGTGGGCCGTATGCTCGTCTGCCTACGAGGGCAATAAAAAAAAAATAGTTATACTTACAGCCACTAGTATAATTGGCAGATTGACTAAAAGTTGCGTAGAAATTAGTCAGCGTAAATAAATAAAAAATCTCAAATAATTAAACATTCTCGTAACAGAAAAAGCGGTCGAGCATACCAAGCTACAGTGATGTTTGAGAAGTGTGTATGGCTTCAGCCTCGATTCATTCAAGCTCACATAGAATTGCTGGGCTTGAAGCCGGAGTCGGAGAAGCACAGGATCCTTGCAAGGCTGGTGGAACTCGAACCTAATAACTGGGAACATTTCGTGTTATTCGGCAATTGGTGGAGAAATAACGGTATGTTTAAATTTGATTGCTGCATTGGGCAGTATTGGTACGAATACTAGTAATATTTTAATAAATTCTAATAATTGTCTTAATATTGGTAGAAAGACCTGAATTTTATAATCAACTAGCTGACCCGGCAAACATTGTTATGCCATATATAATATTTCTATGGAATTTCTAGTGTAGAAAAAAAAACTAACTTATTGTAATCGTGTAAGGATGTGGTAAAAGAGTGAAAGAGGTATGTAGTGCTGTGTACGATGAGGGAATATATAATAAACATAACAAAACCCCATTCAACCATATAAAGCCTCATTATGACAAAAAAATATTGTTCAAACAATAAAAAAATAAATGTTAGAGGTGGACAGCTCTTATCACTTAGGGGTATGAAAAATAGATAGTAGCCGATTCTCAGACCGAACATGCATATAAAACTTCATAAAAATCGGTCAAACCGTTTCAGAGGAGAGAGAGAGAGAATACACTTTATTGCATACCAAAACACAATTTACATTCAAAAAAACAATCAAAAAAACAGATACATTTGTACAATAGGCGGTCTTATCGCTAAAAGCGATCTCTTCCAGACAACCGTTTAATTTATAGAAATTCTGGAAAATATAAAAAAAAATATAGCAGGTATGTTGCGGTGTACTATAGATAATACATTATTATAGAAAATATATACATACAATAAACAAAATATATACCGTTTACATATAATATGAAATGTATACCCATATTTATATACCAATTATATACCAATATACATACTTACATACAATACATACTAATATACTTACATACACATAATACATCAACAGTATGGAAATAATAAATGATGATGCAAACAAACAGCACTAAGAAGATAAGTAGTGTTCCTTCACCATTCTTTTAAAACAGTTTAAAGTTTGAGCACTGTTCACTGCATCCGGCAGAGCATTCCACAGAGCAGAGGAGTATGCTGACTAACATTATGACACGAGAATTTTATGTATAACATGTACTTTAATAGCGAAATTTGCTGACTTCATCTTTTATTCCAAAGCGGATGAGAAACGCCCAATTTTGTGGCAATAAAGGTCCGAATTCAGGACAAATTTAGTTTTAAGCGGTTCCATGATAAGACAGCCGCTGTACTAGTACCGAGCAATGCGGCTTTACAGGTACTCAAATGCCGCAGATAGGTACCAATTCCAACCGATAATGGATACCCGCCATTCTATCCATAGTCACAGACATATAAGTATACTAGCTGTACCCGTCCGCTTCGCTGGGCATTTAAAATTAACATTATTATTTCTCACCCCCACAAAGAATCTCATCATTAACGCCCCCGCAACTGGTGTAGGGAGTCCAACACTCATATAAAATTTTAATTTTACTGGTGGTAGGGCCTCTTGTGAGTCCGCGCGGGTAGGTACCACCACCCTGCCTATTTCTGCCGTGAAGCAGTAATGCGTTTCGGTTTGAAGGGTAGGGCAGCCGTTGTAACTATACTTGAGACCTTAGAACTTATATCTCAAGGTGGGTGGCGCATTGACGTTGTAGATGTCTATGGGCTCCAGTAACCACTTAACACCAGGTGGGCTGTGAGCTCGTCCACCCATCTAAACAATAAATAAAAAAATAAATATTAGCCTGTCCATTAAGTACAGGTATTTTCTACATGGATACCAATTTTCAAGTCAATCGGATGCATAGTTCAGTAGTTATAACGGAACATCCGTAAAAACCACTGTAGATTTATATATTAGTATAGACTAGGTTAACAGTCGACAGAAAATCTATCACAGCTTCTTGTGATCTTTAGAATGGAAATACGGATGAGTAGAAAATGTTAATGGCTGATCAAACAAAATTTATTTATCATTCAACGAACGAAACGTTTATAAAAAAATACTCTGACATTCATTCGTTAAAAAAGAACTATTCAAATAAAAATCTTAATTTCGTACAGTAAATAAATTACAAATGAACAGAACGAACTGAATGAAATAAACACCGGCCTCTACGTCAAAATGAAGGTTGAATATTCCGATTAATTCCTCCTCTGTTTATTTGGGTATTATAATGAAACCTTCAAAAATTCACTTCATAAAAGAATTCTAATAAAGAATGATATCATATTCGATCTTTTTGCGATTTCGTTTTAAAAAGTTTTTCTATTGAAGAAACAATTTTTCTCCCTTCATTACTTCTTTTCTTTTTCTTTGAATCCTTTTTTTTTGAGTTTCGAATTACAGGATTGGTGGGACCGGCTTCCAAGTTTTATCTGGAGGCGATGAGATTGAGTTTTCGAAGGCGTGACGTCGAGCTGCCAGTCAGGAGCGATCTAATATCGTTCAGATCGACCGCTTTGATGTACAGGTCGTTAGGACAGAAATCGAGAACACTACAGCTTTTGACAAGGTATTTTTTCGTTGTCAATTAATTCGAAGATTATGGTTGATGACGAAACAGACGAAAGACGAAGAAAGTCAAAATTGAATACGCAATCAATGAACATGTGTAACTTGGAAGGCAGTGTTTAAAATTTCGTTAGAAATGTCTATCTATTGTTATGTAAAACAATTGCAAACTCGTCTTAGAGTGAGTGACTTTCAAGCTGTGTTGATTAAGGGCTGTTGTAGCCCCCTAACACCAAATATCTCATTCAGGAAAATCAATTGGCTTATGGATGTATCCGGTGATTTAATCTGTGTATGGTTAAAAATCAGTAAAACAGTTCCTTCACAGTGAGTTAGTGTGGAACTATTTGATGGATCTACACCAGACATTTATTTTAGTTTACTAACGCTCTTTGTCTTCCGATTAGATGGCATACTTGGCGTCGTGGCTGGCCTAGTGCCGCTGCAGCCCACATGTATCTAAGAGATTGGAGACTCAAAATGGAACTCGAAGGTCGAGTACAAATTTATTCTAAAGCTGTCAATCCTACAGTAAGTATCTAATGCGTTTAGATGTGCTTATTATGTGGTATTTTTATTGCCTTTGTACAAAAACGACTATAATATGGTCACCTGGTGAGTGGTCGCCGTCGCACAGGGAGGTTAGCAATACTAGGGACACAGGCCAACTATTGGCTACTGAAACTGACCTCTGCTTGACTTATTGTTACATAATAGTATTCTGCATGTTCCATATCTCAATTAGTTCATGGTTTATTGCTAATATAGGTTATTGAACTTTCGATTTGAAGATATTTGAAGTATCCATCCAGTTTCCCCTAGCCACTATTGTACTACTCTTGACTCTTGACTTACTCTCTCGATAGCTTCAAGGCTACTGTCTTTCCTCGTTATACCAGTTAAGCCAAAAATAAACTATTACCATCCAGGTTGTGGCATATTTGGTGAAACTCATAGTGATATTTAATGGTATGATATGAGAAACAGTTGATAGCATTTTAACCAAGAGGATTAGGGAAATTTAATACAAAAAAGTGTTTAGTTATAACATTCTGAAAAACAATGATAATATACAGAGTTAAATAAGAGTTTAAGTTTTTTGCCCTAGCACAGTGATAGCACATGATTTAAAAGTATCAGAAGTTTTACTGGTAATAACACAGATATTAAAAAATGGGTTAGTACGGTTTTCTAATGAAAAAAAATTATTACGTACTATGGTTGGATCAGATAGTATCAAGTATGTGATTATAGGCTCTGAGGGGAAACCCTTCCCATCAGAATAAATCAAAAACCTTCTGAATCATGTATCTATAGCTCACTGTTTCTTACAGAAATCGACAAAGTGCTTCGACCACGCACAACTGACAGTTGAAACCGCTAAGGCTTACACTGATAAAGTACCCAAAATAGAAGAAACCGTTAAAATAGACGAAAAAAACAATTACAATAAAGTTGCGAAGAAAGGTGGAGATGTGAATTCGTGCGAGTGTAAAAAATGCGGGACCAAAAAACGCAATATATCTGTGCCGTCGCAAATTAAAACGACACATAACAAATCAGAAACAGGACTGAAAGACAAGCAGTGCGTGAGGAAAGACGAGACAGTTAAAAATGACGCCATTCCCACTAATATGATAGGTACGACGATAACTGAACATTTCCTTATGAAGACTTTCTGAAGTGTATTTATACTAATGGAATTCGATGAGGCGGATGGCTTAACTTAAATGGCAGATGTTAAACTTTGAGATACACTTTCAGATGACACCGATTTATATTTAGATACGATTTTAAGTTAAGTTTATTTACGTTGAATAATTTCTTTTTTTTTGGTCGTGTAGATAAAAAAATGGATACTAATTTTTTAAGATTTTTTTAGAATCTATTTCTTTAAATACATAAATTTAATGTATTACTTATTACTCAGCTAACTATTGGAATCAAAGCGATTGTGGAACTCTAGTTAAAGATCTTGCTTAAGTTGTACAGAGGAAGTAAGAGCGTTATTAGCTTAGTGCGTAAATCACTCAGCGTATGCTTATAGAGTCCCTAATGCCACTATATAACGTAACTGATTCCAATTAAAGTAAAAGGCATCAAACAAAGACTCGCACGGAGCATTGGCATCGAGTAATAAAACAAATCTCGCAAAATTGTATTATTTGTGTCATTTTTGGTACTGTATATTGTTAACGCAGTTGGGTGCAGCAGTTCAGTGTCTCTTTTTCAAAAGTGGAACGACGATGATTACAATATAACGAAGGGGCAATAATCGCTTTTTCAGGAAGTATACTACCGTTTATTCCAGTAAAATGACTGAATATAAATTATGACTATGAGTTACTATTATAAATTATATCTTATTAGAATAGAACAACATTGATATACATTTATTTTAAGTAAGTCAGTATTATTTCATAGTTTTTTAAGAATATAATACAAGATTTAATGCCATTAAACTTTAACAGAGAATTATGTACGCCTCTGGGATTTTATGACCTGGTAACTAACACTTTTGGTCTTATTTTAATTTATATTCTTATTTGTATGAAAAATGATAATATGGAGTGAAATGAAATGAGATGAGATGATATAATTTTTTCAGTGGACTTTTTGGAGATCCCGAGAAGTTACGTCCAGCGGCTTTGTTTCATTTTCCCACATTTGTGCATTCTCACAGATATTAAACGGTTAATAAACCACCGTAATTACACATTTAAACCTGGAGAAACACTAAATAGACAAAATAAAACAAATCACACAACTTCACTCCTCGCGTTCCCGCCAAAAAGTTCCCAGATCACATTCATAACATTAATGTCATAGATAAAAAAGTACTTAGTTATTTCTGCATTTTAGTGTAAGCCATCTGCGTCGACTCCAAATGCTAGAGCAGAATCGATTATGAACGTGTGATATAACAGTGTGTTTGCATTACGGTGTGGCAAATCAACGCTTGGATGTCTTATATTTTTTTAAGGTACATCTATAACACTAGCTATAGGCCGCCGACAATATGCAAATTAAGTTAAGGCTTCTTTGGGTTTAAATTATTCCATTTGAATACACACGTATTCAGAAGTATTTGAATAACATTTTAAACTAGCCAAAACATTACATTGGTAATCTCCGATTTTTTAGAAGATTGGAAGTTGGGTGAATAAAAGTTCACTGTCCCACACGTTTTTCTTTTATTGGTTAATGAATATTTATTATTGCAGCTTTAATGACAGTACCACTAATAACTGTTGCTTTTAGTTTCGGCTCTTTAGTCCAGGGTTCACGTTAAAGTAATTTAAGTTGAAAATCAGCCATGATGATGATGAGATGCTTCTTCTGGATCCAAAGGTTGACCTACCACCTCTTCTAGTGAAAACGTCTGGACCGATTTAAAATCGTCATTTTTAATAATACTGCCCTTCGAGTAATAATAATACATTACCAATAGGCGAATTGATGAAGAGACACTTAAATTCAATTTATTTGAGTGTCTACTAATAAATCTAATATTTCGTTAGATAAATAATATTGATAAATTATTTATGGTTGTTGTAAATATAAGTAATGTTTCAAATTGGATTACTTTGAACTCAAAGATGTTAGATAGCGTGACTAAATGGTACGTAGTAAAAACTTGTAACGAAGAAAAAATGAATATATATTTTTATCATGTCGTTTTGGGGTTTGGGTGGTTTTCATATGAAAATGCACGTGTTTGTACGCTGTTTTGATTAGGATGTTTGATTGCGTCGTCAAATTTGTATTGATTATAGGCAAATCAAATAAATAAATAAATATCATTAAAAATAATTCTTACGGGATATTTTAAGGAAGTCGGAGATTTAATAGTAATGATTATAAAAAGAAGAGTTCATAATAATCTTAATATCTGGAGTTTCTGAGGTACCACGATAACATAGCTTAATTATGGTTGTGTCGTCTGTCGGTTCTGAGATTATTATTTAACATATAAGCAGTGATTTTGTACCCGAATATCTTTGGCTTATTTATCTGCTATTTACAAACAACAATACAAATTTGACAACGGAAAATATGTAACAAAATTGCTAGGCCTTGTCATTAATATAATTATGTATGTATATGAAAGAAACAATAAGCTGCTTGACATAATATTTATTTCATAATTTATGAAAATGTTCATCTAACTCGTTGCCAGAATTATTATGAACGCACTAAGCAAATTAATTGTAGGTACAGCTTGCAAAAAAGATGTATTGTTAGATAAAGATCGAAAGCTGAATGAAGGCTGCTTTGACATTCTGGGAGAAGAGGGTTATGTGCTGTATACAGTGTATTGCACTATACTACGCGCATTGAAGATCACGTGTCAGAGATTAGGAATCTGGCTAGCACAAGTTTTATCGATATAATTTTTATTGATAAGCGATGAAAAGATTTCGTATCTTAACTTTTCTTTTTGATCTATTCTATATTATATACACAGGCTAAGCTTAAAATTGAGCATACTTCGAGTTAGGATGTGTTTCTGGAATCTAATTTCTGGTAACGAGTTATAAGTGTTTCGAGTAACAAAAACAAAAGTTTGATAAGATGTACATAATATGAGTATTTTAAGTTAGTTTTTAAAAGCACGTAAAAGGGCTTTGAATGTACTGAAATTAAACAAGTGAATTATTAATTTTGGTGTTTTATTTGAGTCTCAGATAATTAATTACAAATAAATATCAAAGATTTACTTAGTATTCAATAATAATAAAGCTATCATAAGTTATGATATCAAATGAACTTGAAATGTATCAGAGCTTTTTTTACTACCTTATTGTTGGTAGTCTATGGAGTTATTACAACTACTCAGGGACTGGTAGGTGAGTTCATGGGCTCAACCTGAGAGAACTGACCCTAGCGAAGACAGTGCTTCGCTGAATCTACGGTGACCGGTGTTTGAAGAGTCTAAAAGCATCGAGACCTTATTCAAAGGATTCGTCAAGGCGTGTTTTGGGCGACGGCAGGTTTGCGATGCCCTATTGCCTTTTTCTTTTATTGCTTAGATGGGTGGACGAGCTCACAGCCCACCTGGTGTTAAGTGGTTACTGGAGCCCATAGACATCCACAACGTAAATCCGCCACCCACCTTGAGATACAAGTTCTAAGGTCTCAAGTATAGTTACAACGGCTGCCCCACCCTTCAAACCGAAACGCATTACTGCTTCACGGCAGAAATAGGCAGGGTGGTGGTACCCACCCGCGCGGACTCACAAGTCCTACCACCAGTAAAGTGCCTGGGTCAGATATGTAAGTAACGTCGGTCACGATAAGATGTTTATGAATGGAGTATTAGACATAATTTTGCACATAAGCACCTTATAAGAAAAACTCGAAGAAGAAATTTTAGTAATTAATTTTCGGAAGTGAAAGTTACTTTCAAATTAGTAAAAATATCTACGTGAAGACAAAAATATGGGAATCGTAAAAAAATGTCACACCAACAATAAAGACCATAAAATATTTTCTTAAGAATTCGAACATAATTAGATGGTGTTTACCGAAAACCCGTGTCATCACGATATGACCTTTCCCCACGTTGACTATCATAGGAATATAATATATAATTATATCATAATATAATTATTATATTCATATATTATAATCTCACGACCAATCCGGTGGTAAGTGATTACCGGAGCCAATACACGTCATAACGTATCATCACACATCACATCAACATAACTCACATTGAATTTTGATTGAATTGGATAATGGATACTCCTTTCTCATGATCATTTTGGAGCAGAAATAGTTCTGCTACAAAATCTTTGTTTAATAAAAAAATATTACTGCCTTTGTAGGCAGAGCATACGTCTACAGATGGTGAGTGGTTACCGTCGCCCATGGATGTCAGCAATGCCAAATAAATTAATTAATTGGTCTTATTAATTAATTAATTAACAGGTAATCTTGTAATTTCCAGTCGAAGTCAGTATTTCATTAAAGATAAACAGCATTCTTAGTCATATTTCATGTAAGCCAAAGGCAAAGATAAACAGTTTTGAGAATTAAGTCTTACAACTTCATATTATCATTCAATTCACTCTATGAGTACAACACAAACTACTACATATAAGTTCGTAAGCTTTGCTAGTTGAAACGGAAATGTTCGTCCATTTGCATACAAATGGAGTTAACAGTTGAGTCGCCACCTTTACTTCACCATAATCGCTACGTTAATCCCTTAGATTGAATCTCACTACAATGAAACCCAGGAGCCTTCAACAAGTGGCTGCTACTAACAACAAATATTTTTTCAAGTCGGAAAGCTCTTAAGGCTCATGAAAATAAGGTTCAATTCAACTTGGTTGCTCGTTATATATGCGTATGTTTACTTCAGCCGACTCTTACACAGCTGTTGGAGATACCGGATCAGTGATTTCAATGTGGAGTGCAGTTTTTAGTTCAGTTTCATTCAGTTTTGTATTTGCTTTATTAATGAATGTTTCAAGACTTGTTTTGAGTTCTTTTTAATAGCGAATGGTAGTTATAATAATAGTATGTATAATTGTTAGGAAAAGGTTTGAAAAAAATAGGTATTTCTTTTTGCGTATATATTGTAATATATACGCAAAAACATTATGGCATTAATATGGGACGGGCATTAAGAAGGGGAAGGGAAAAAAGCGTATGCCCAGCAGTGGACATCAAAGAGCCGAAGATGAATGAATGAATACGGGTGAATAAACTCACAGTTGACTTGGTGCTAAGGATACCGTCACCCCGCCTACTTCTGCCGCTAAGCAGCAATGCGTTTCGGTTTGAAGGGTGGGGTAGCCGTTTTAACTACACTGAGACCTTGGAATTTCTCAAAGTGGGTGACACATTTACGTTGTAGATGTCCATGGGCTCCAGTAACCACTTAACATCAGGTGG